AAAATCAGGAAAGGGTCGTGCTACCCGAGGGTTAGATGTGGTGCTGAGGATGAGCCGTCCTGCCCACAGCACAGAAGAGAGTGCCCACTCAGGGAGCCAGGGTACAGGGGAGAAGGGCCAGGATCCCAATGCAAACAGGTTGGCACTGTTTGACTCTGGGGGGAGGAGGAAAACAGATGTTCAGCAAGACAGTGGCATTGGTGTGTTCGAGCAGGCAGCTGGGCAGGTACAAGCCACAGTGGGAGAGAAAGGAAACCCTGTGAAGGGACAGGGTCCCAGTTTCCTGGGGCTGTGGCCTCAGAACTTCCTTGGCAGGGCACACTGAAGCCCTTCCAGGTTCCCCACCGCATTATCCTGCACAGTCACATCTGGTGGACTCAGACCCATAGCAACCATGCCTAGCCTGATTAGGCCTCATTTGCATACACACACACACACACACACACACACACACACACACAGGCTTGTCTGTTCCAACTAAGACCATAAAGTCCAGATCCTCCCTTCCCAACATGAAGGTGGAGCCTCACAGTTGACTGGAAGCAGACCTGAGGGCCACAGACCACTCCCCACATTGTAGGAAAACAAGAGAATCCAACCCGTCCTTGAAGCATGGGGCCTTCTCTGCGTGACCTGCCTGGATCGCTCCCAAGTGTACCACGGCTATAACAGGCAGCAGCTAACACTGGCTCTGCCCTCGGCTCTCCTGAGTATGCTGCACAACCCTGTCTGATAAAAGTTAGCTAAGAGGGCACTTCACTTGTTATCCAATAACGAGCTTACTAAAAACTACTCCTTTCTGACTCTGAGTTCCCCTCCGTGGACTGTTTAATAAATCTTGAGGAGGATCCAAAATTCATGATTTAACAACATAGTGCAGACCAGCAGCCTTGTCAAGACTGATCTCATAATTTCAGTAATAAGGTGGATGAGTGGGGAGGAGAGGACAAGTTGGATGGACAGATCAGGAAGATGAGAGATTAGCTAGGCAGTAGAGACTACACAGATGATAGAGATAAATAAAATAAGCAGATAATTTACAAAACCAAAAAAACTGTAAAGCATCTATAAAAGATAACAAATAGATCTCTTAATACTACTAAGGGTTAGGGTTATAAAGATTAGAGCAGAAATCAGTGCAATGGAAACTAAGAAATGATAAAAAAAATCAATGAACCAAAGAGTTGGTTTTTTTGAAAGAATAAATAAAATTGATAAACCCTTAGCAAACCTTGTCAAAAAAAAAAAAAGAAAGAAAGAAAGGAAAGGCTCCAATTCATGCAATTAGGAATGAAAAGGGTAAAGTCACAACAGATCCAGCAGAAATCCAGAGGATCATCAATACCTACTTCCAGAACCTGTACTCTAATAAAATAGAGAACACAGAAGAAATGAACAGATTTCTAGATACATATGAATTACCAAAGTTGAATGAAGAAGATAAAAAATTCTAAACATCTCATTTATGATCAGTGAAATTGAAAAACATAATTAAAAATTTACCAACAAAGAAAAGCCCAGGTCCCGATGGATTCATTGCTGAATTCTACAAGACATTTAGAGAAGAACTATTGCCACTACTCTTTAAACTTTTCAATGAAATTGAAAGGGAAACAATACTTCCAAATTCATTCCTGGAATTGTTACTTTGATTCCAAAACCAGGGAAAGACCCAACCAAAAAAAGAGAACTACAGACCAATCTCCCTAATGAACAGATGCAAAAATCCTCAATAAGATACTGGCAAACAGAATACAGAGGGTCACCAAGAAAATCATACAGCCTGACCAAGTTGGATTTATCCCAGGGGTGCAAAGATGGTTCAACATATGAAAATCAATAAATGTGATGCACTATAGTAACAGAGTCAAGGACAAAATCCATATAGATGCACAAAAAGCACTTGACAAAATTCAACACCCATTCATGATAAAAACCCTCCAGAAAATTGGAATAGATGGTCTTTCTCTCAACTTGAAATGTTGTTGAAAAACCAACAGCCATCATCAAATTAAATGGTTAAAAACTGAAAACCTTCACACTAAAATCAGGAACAAGACAAGGATGCCCACTATCACCACTCCTCTTTGATATAGTTCTGGAAACATTAGCCACATCAATTAGACAAGAGAAAGAAATTAAAGCAATAAAGACAGGAAAGGAAGAAGTGAAACTGTCATTATTTGATGATGATATGATACTCTACATTGAAGACACAAAGAACTCTGCCAAAAGACTTCTAGACTTGATTGACAGATTCAGTAGAGTAGCTGGATACAAGGTAAACACTCAAAAATCAATAGCTTTCTTGTACACAAATAACAGACTCACTGAGAATGAAATTAGGGAAACAATCACTTTCACAATAGGATCCAAAAAATGAAATATCTAGGAATCAATTTAACAGAGGAAGCAAAAGACCTCTACATTGAGAACTATTAACACTCTGAAAAAGAGACTCAAGAGGATGTAAGAAAATGGAAAGACATCCCTTTTTCCTAGGTAGGAATAATCAATATAGTGAAAATGTCCATACTTCCAAAACTGCTATACAGATTCAACGCAATCCCAATTAAAATCCCAACAGTATATTTCACAGAACTAGAGAAAACAATCCAAAAATTTATTTGGAAACAGAAAAAAACTAGAATAGCAAAAGCAATTCTAGGCATCACAGACATGGCAATGGGTATCACCATCCCCAACTTGAAACTATACTCTAAAGCTACTCTGATAAAAACAGCATAGTACTGGCAAAGAAACAGATCCAAGGATCAGTGGAATACATTAGAAGATGCAGAAACAACTCCAGACATACTCAGGTACCTCATCTTTGACAAAGGAGCCAACCATCTTCACTGGAGGAGAGATAGTCTCTTTAATAAATAGTGTTGGAAAAACTGGATTTCAATTTGCCAAAAATTAAAACTAGACCAGTATCTTTCACCATGCACTACACTAAAATTGAAGTGAATTAAAATCTAAATATTAAAACAGAAACACTAAATTTTCTGGAAGATAAGTTAGGAAGAACTCTTGAAGATATTGGCATAGGAAAAGACTTCATGAACAAATCCTCAGCAGCCCGGGAACTAGCACAAAGAATCAACAATTGGGATCTCATCTTTTTTAAAAAGCTTCTGCACTACAAGAGAAATCACCAACAGAGCTAAGAAACAACCTACAACGTGGGGGAAAAAATTTACCAGCTGTTCCTCAGACAAAGGTCTACTATCTGGAATATATAAAGAACTCAAAAAATCAGATCCCCCCAAATATAAAGACCCAATTCAAAAATGGCCATCTGCAATGAACAGACATTTCTCAGACAAAGAAGTAAAAGCAGTAAATAAATACATGAAAGATGTTCAACATCATTGGTCATTCGAGAGATGCAAATGAAAACAACACTGAGATTCCACCTCACCCCAAAAAGAATGGCTGCTATCAAGAAATCAACCAATAACAAATGATGACAGGGTTTTGGGAGAAAGGAAGCTTTCTCCATTGTTGGGGGAGTGCAGACTGGTGCAACCACTATGGAAGTCAATATGGAGATACCTCAAAGAGCTTGGACTAGAGGTTCCATTTGACCCAGCTATCCTTCTGCTGGGTATCTTTCCAAAAGAAAAGGATCATACCACAGTGATATATGCAGACCCATGTTTATAGCAGCACAGTTTGCAATAGTAAAACTTGGAAAAAGCCCAAATGCCCATCAACTGGAGACTGGATAAAAGATGTGATTTTTTTATAAAATGGAGTACTACTCAGCCATAAAGAATGAGAAACTTGAGGCATTTATAGCTAAGTAGATGCACACTGAGGCTATACTCAAGTGAAATTAATAGGACATGCATGTGTAAATACCAAATAGTTTCTCTGGTGTGAAAATCTAAAAGTGTAAATAAAGATCAAAATATATAGTTGATATTGTGTAATAGGAAGAAAAGGTCTAAAGAAGTAGGGCAAGTGGATGGAGTAAGGGAAAGGAAAGAAGGGAAAAGAAAAAATACGTGAAAAGGAAAAATGTGGAAACAAAGTCTTTGTAAATAGGTAGGGTGGAGGGGGTGAGGGGAGGGCAGGAGAATGGGGAACAATAAGAACCAAGACAGATCATGTAAAGATACAAGATCCCGATGATTAATGTAACTGGATTGTATACCTAAATTGTACCGATAAGCTAAAACATCTAAAAAAACACAAAGATTCAAAACATATATGAGCACTGGGCGTGGTGGCACACACCTGTAATCCCAGCATTTGGGAGGCTGAGGCAGGAGGATCTCTGTGAGTTCGAGACCAGCCTGGGTTACATAGTGAGTTCCAGGGCAGTCTGAACTACATAGTGAGACCCTGTCTCAAAAGAATATATATATATATATTATATATATATGTATGTATGTATGTATATTTATATATATGTATGTATATGTATATATATATATGTATATGAAGAAATACCTTATTAAAGGAAGATATACCTTATTAAAACAATAGCTGATATGCAGAAATGTGAATCCTTTTTTTGTTTTTGTTTTTTTAAGACAGGTTCACATTGTGTAGTTCAAGCTGGCCTTGCCAACAGTTTCAGTCAAATCTCAATTTTTTTACTTGGATAAAATGATTTAAACATCTATTTGAAAACTTAATAATTTAGAATAGCCAGTTATTATAAAGAAAAACTGAGCTGTCATCCAGTATTGTAAAGTATTTCTAAAGCCACCCTTGGCAGGCGAGAAAGAGCTCTGGGACTGTCAACAAAACACAATGGCTCTAAATAGACTGAAACCTGGAAGTTGATACATAAAAAGACAGCATTCTACCCACGTGGGAAAGGCGAGCTTGCTTACTGCACGGAGGTGGGGAGCGGCTGGGTCGGAAGGGGGTTTGGCCCGTGTGAAGTCCACGCTGAGTGGGAACAGAGAGCAGGACACAGACGCGACACGCAGCCGGGCCTGCCCCAAGTCGCCCTGGATCTCCAGGAATGCAGCGCGCACCTGCTACTACCCGCGCCTCCCGTGGGCGACACCGGAGGCTCAGCAGGCAGAGGTCGTCACGCAAGTCCTCCTGAAGTACGTCCGGGCAGGTGGCTGACGAACGCCGGTTACCAGCCTTCGAAGTAAGGAACGCCAACCTGCAGCGACGCAAAGGACTGCGTTTATTATAAAAAGGGCTCATTTCGTTATTTTTGAAATAGCGGATCCCACAGAAGAGTCTGAGTTGAACTCTGCCTCCTTCATCCCCGGGATCGCAGCCCACGCTCAGGCCGCCTCTGCTGCAAGGCCACACTCGGCACCACGCGCCTCTCAACGGCCTGAATCGCTCCGGCTCGGCTTTGCGTGAGGCGAGTCTCGGGGTCGACCTCACCCCACGTCCCCTTACTCCCCTCTACCAAGACAACAGTTACATTGGGTCATTTTAACTCTTTCGCATCATTTTAAGGCTTTTTGAGTCATTTGAAATGATTTTAATTTGCTCGATACTCTTGTTACCATGACGGCTGGAATTCAGAATTTCTCTCACCCATTGAATAATCTATGACATAAGTTGCATAAAAACAGTCATTTAGGCTACCAGCGGTCCCACTGGGCCCCTTTCCAGGTGTAGGAAATGTGACAACACAGCGGTGCAGGGCTGTTTCTCATCAGACCACACGCAGTACTGGCTTGCAATTTTACATGTGAAGGCTTATAGTTTTAGAGCGTGCAGAAGATGGGCCGTGAGGGGCCCATCCGGCAGGCTCTCCGCCCACTTGGACCAGCTGTGACTCCGCAGAAGGCAGGGCGGGCAGGCCAGGGGCCGACAACCAGCAGGACAAGAGGACTCTTGCTCTATGTGATCCGCTCCTGGCGCAGAGCTCTTACACCTTTAGGATTTCCTAAGAGTGGCGGGATTACCTTTCCTTCCAGCGAGATGACTTGTCGGAGCCTGTGGGTTGCTTCAGGTTTGGGGGGCGGTGCTGGTCATCAGGAAGACAGAGGCACAATGAGAAGACTGGAAAGTTCAGCTTGCCTCCTCCCAGCGCTCCGTGGAAAAGAGGTGGGCTGACACTGAGCTAACCAAAGAGGCCAGTGATACATACACACTCACACTCACCCCTGTCCGAAAGAGCTCTGGGGATCCTTCGAAAGACCCTCTAAGATAAATCGGTAGAGGTAAGGAAGGTGCTCCCCTGAGTCTCAGAGCCATCCCAGCGTTCACGGAGCAGAAGGCAGGCTGCCAGAAGCTGACCTCCAGCCGGGTTGGACAGAGTGTAGTTGGCCTGCCACTTGTCACTGCTGACCAGAGTGAGGGCAGCCTTGTGGGGCTGGTCCCTTCACCTGAGGAGTCTCCTGCTCCTCACCAGCACAGAACTAGAGAACCAGGATAACCGCTACAGAGCAATGAACCGAATGACAAGACAGTGGCTTGGCGTTGGAGAAGGAAAGAAATGGTTGGCATGGGGAGTACAGAAGACACCTCCTTGTGGGCAGAAATGTGCTACTTCAGCCTCTGCTGACCTGTCTTCCATGGGACCAGTGGCTCCTGCCGAGGTTCAGGGGTGCAGCTGTCAGAATAACAAGGTAGCAGCACATCCTCCTGGCCAGCGCCATCTCCTGAGGATTTTGCCAACGAGCCCCTTGATAAGCCAGGTAGGCAGCTCACGACCTGCTCAGCCATCCTGAAGGTTCCAGGCAGACAGGGGTTACTCGCAATAAAATCTCCTCAGGAAGAACTTGGGCCTGTCAGATATAACGGCACACACAATGCACTTTGCAATCAAATGCATCGGACTGAAAAACTATGGTTACCATGAAGTCTTTACAAATGTCATGAAAAGATGACTTCTTTTTGTTAATTTGTAACACCTAGGGTTCATCAAGTTAAAAGTGACAGAAAACCCAGTCCAGAATGGCCAAAGCAAAACGGGATCTGTGAGATCACATGAGCTACATATCTGCAGATAAATGTAATGACATATCCCGTTTATTATTGAGCAGCCCAATGACTCTGAGAGCAAAGGGCCTGGGATTTCGCTCAGTGGTGCTGTCACCTGCCTCACAAGCACAAGGACCCAAGTTCAATCCCCAGCACCAAAAATAATAATAATAATAATAATAATAATAATAATAATAATAATAATAAAGAGTAAAATCAGTACATAGTTTCTAGAACATAGTTCCTGCACCATGTCTCCTGGCACTCTCCTCACAGATATCCAGGCTTCCTCAAACTGTCTGGAACCTCTTCTTTCAGGAGTATCAGACAACCCCGTGATGGCCCTCACCTGCCCCACTGATCTAAAGTGTTCGATATACTAATTTGCCCAAGTGCCACCATCTCAAAGAGGAGACTGTCAGTCTTGGCGCTGACCACTGGGGAGGTTCCCTATGTATGTTTTAAGGGTGGGTGGCTTTGTCTTCATTCTACATTAAAGGTGTGCTTTCTCTGAGAAGACTAAAGCCACCTCTGCTCCGACAGGGAGAGTTGCATGGAAAAGTGCCTTTCTTCCTGTCTTATTTTTTAAAACATAATGTATGGATGAGACAGGCTTTGAAATTTACATTCAGAAAATACTGATCTCATATGCATGATTTCAGCCCCCAGAAGGAATAAAAATATTTGACTCTGGTTCAGTGAGTTTACAACATTGTGATCGATACAGAGATTAACCTTTTAAAAAGCACCCGATATTACATTAGCATCTACTTTGACCTTTGAGAAAATATGAATGTCTAGCTAGATATCCCTGAAGCCCCAGATAGAAGGGGGCTTTAAAATTCTATGAGGAATTTTATTCTAGTCTAATGTTAGTCAGTACTCATGGTCCTTTTGAATCACACCAACCAAAGCACTTTCAGATGTTGCTTGTAGTACAGTATTTTCGAAACAGTATGTTCTCTGGAGACCTTTTCTACATTTTGATTTCACTTACAAACTTACTGTTTTTTTAAATCTCACAAAATTAGTTATGTCTGAGTAAATCTCAAACAAAAGCAAAATATAGCAATGAAAGCTTTATCGGAGCTAAATTCCACAGTAAAACTCAATAGGTATCTACATTTAAAGGAACAGGAAAAAATCTAACTTTATAGATTTATTGACCCCTGTAATATTGCTTAGGTAGGGGAGATATGTGGTAGATTGGTTCCCATGAAAGAACCCCCAGGAAAAAAATCTGAGTGCAAGAATCCAGCATGAGAATAATCTCTAGTTAGAAAACAATCATCTCCAAGGAAAGAAAATAAAATTTTATCCTCCCTAAGAGGTGCACAAAGAGAATTCCGGGGGAAAATGAGGCCGTGATAGAAAGAGCAGAGACGCGGAATGAGGTTGATGGCCCCGCCGTCTTCGAAGGGGAACAGGGGCTCCGGCAGCCGACACAGTGACGCCCCGAAACTCTGCGCATGTCCACACTGTTCACGACAAACTCCACCGGCCAGCAAGAAACGCTCACGAGTCCACATAGATTCCTTTCCTTAGAGGCAAGAGGGCACTGAGGACTGGGGGCGTTATAAACGCAAGATCCTCGTCAGTAGAGAATAAACGTCATTGTAGCTACCCAACATGTTTGCCACCAAAAAGAGGCCAGAAAACTCCATGGAAAACAAAGAGGTGCACAGCAAAGTTACTGAAGTTGATAAAATAACAGGCCTGTGCAGAAAAGCCAGCCTGAGTGTAGAACTACGGGACAGTGACCCTGGCTGGTTGGCTCTGACTGCAGAGAGAGGACAGATCCCGCCCAGGGAGCCAGCCCCAGCACACGTCCTTTCAGGGGCAGAGACAGCAACACGCATAGGAAGGGAGGCGAGCTCACTGGGGACTGATGAGTGAAGGGGAAAGCAACAAGAGGACATCTTCCAGAACCACAAAAAATGAAAACCATAGCTTACAAAAGCTGCAATCCACCACACTGACCACAGAGGGCGCTCTGAAACCAAGAGTCTCAGAACTGACCCCTATGGGCGTCTGTTCCCGGAGAGCGTGAGTGAAAGCGGACTTCACCGCCCCGGGGATAAAATAGCCTGAGACTGCAAACACTGAACAACAAAGATGTCTCAAAAAAATCCCAGTGTAAACTAGAGGAAAACACAGGATGACAGCACTCTGTATGGCACTATACACTCATAAACAAGCACGTGAAACCATGAACACAACTTGAATCCGAAACCCAAATGCTAAGAGCAGAAACAGATAAAAATGTAAAGAAATAAAATGAGAAGTTAAAGAAAAAGCACAAATTACGTCAGAAGGTGTTCGAGAAATAATATAACCAAATGAAAATGCAGTAAGGGGGCACTGAAAAAACAAAGAAAGAAAAAAAAAGATAAAAATAATTTAAGTAACAAAATAAATCTAAAGGAAATTGGTTGAAATGGAAGGCAAGTCACTACCACTCCATATAAGAGATCCACAAACCAAGGAAGCATAATACTTAAAACTAAGGGGAAACCCTTTCTAGAATAAAAGAAGACGCACCGCTATGTGTTCGAAGCCCTGTGGCGCACCCAGGGATGTTTTAGAAAAAATTATCAGACTTCAAAAAGAAATGTTTAAAACCTCCAGGCCTGCGGTAAAATGATCAAACTGTTTACAACAGTAAGAGAATTAGGCACCCACCAAAGTCCCCGACTCTCACAGAAAGGAGGCAACAGGGGAGCCATGTTTCCACAGAACTCAACGCGGGCATGTGAACAAAGGACAGATCAGAGAAGCCAGGCTCTCAGAAATATGAACAGACGTAGAAACACAGTCCTGAGCTGCAAAACTCAAGGGGCTCCCATAGAAACCTCACCCACCAGAGGGCAGGGACACCGGCAAAACCCTAAGTTGAGCGTCAAGTACACTCAGGTGTGGACTTGCGGCAAAGTACTGTAGATCTTAGAATACTGTGCAAATGTTGTCGATTTGAAAGCAGAAATAATTTGATTAATATGGGGGTCGAGAAAGAAGTAAAAAGTAGAATAAACTTACCAAAGGTCATGTAGGCAGTAAGTAGAAATCAAAGACAGACGAAGTAGATATTAAAGATTAAGTAGAAAACAAAGGACTAACAGGATTTGATTAGGCATGAGAATAAAGGTAATCACCGGAACAAAACTATTAATTTTTCTAATTGTACAAAGTATTTAGAAAAGAAAAAGTATACAGGCC